GATTTCACCCACGTGCGATATATATATATTTGTATGTCAACACTTACATTTCTTCTATACATGTTGTATTGGAGAAATAACAGGCCTTAGCAACCACCCGCCCACGCTACGTAAGTGGGTGTGGTCACGGCAAACAAGATGGCGGCTTGCACATGGGACAAAGTTATGAGCTTTCTAACAGCGAAAGAACATAGAGATACTGTCTAAAGACTTCTCTAGAAGCATTAGAAGGTAGAAAGAACCTTTATAAGTCTTAATAAGAACCCAGTTGTACTTGCAAGGTGGTGAAAACAATTATAGGAATATTTTTACACTAATACGCTTGTTAAAGTTGCCCCAAAAACTATGACAAATGACCATGGGCTATAATACACAGTAGTACAGGGTATTTTACAAAAAGGCTACTTCCATTCTTATTAGTCTTTTCAATACAGTATAAATAGAGCCTACCAGTATTTGATACCGGAGCAGAATAAGCATTAATATTAAATCTTGATGGCAACCTACGGAAGAACAAATGATGAGTTTATATCAAATAATGACTATATACCTTTCCTTATATGGTAGTACGGATAAACCAGGTGGGAGAGGGTATAGAGTGTCTAGTTTAGTCCATAAGTCAACCAACCATGGATCTATTACTGCATCAGGACTATAATATAACATGCAATGATGATAATAACAATAAAAATTAAAATAATAATAATAACAGTATTTTTTGTCATTACGTATTATAACAAAGTAAAGCAAAAATTAAACTAAGTTATAATGATAATGAAATTACAAAATATAAATTTAATAATAATAACAATGAACAATAATCTGGTACATGTTCCTCTCTATGCCATTGGCAAAATTTTTACCATTAAATTTTAAACCATATAGTCCCTTACCCTAGATCATGTTGATCGTCACCATAAACAGGAGGAAGGAGGAATGATGCACCTAACTGACCCAAACGACGATACAGCTTCTTTGCAATAAAATTAAACCTGTAATGGTAGCAAAACACAGTTCACCCCAATGCTTAATTTATAATCAAACAAAATTAACTTTAGCATCAATACAACAACCATTGGACTATTGCCAAGTACATAACTAGACACTGTACTGTCTACATGCATCAAGAATATATAAAAGCCCTAAAACCAAGATCATAAATAGCTTATCTGCAGTTAATATATAACTACATGTAGATCTACAATTCTACATCATTAAAATTTTCCACAGATAATTTATAACTACATGTAAAAGTTTTCCTCCCTCCCTCTCTCCTCCTCACTCTCCTGCCATTACTTTAAATAAGATGAGTCTCCCAGTCCTACTACAGCAGTTTGGAGGTGCAATAAAGAGTCTGCTGGAAGGTTCCGCCTCAGTAAAAACCTCCAGAACTGTTTCATGTTATCAGGAGGATCCCCTTGGCCAGTTGTAGCACACACAAAGACACAGACAGGAGTGTTTATCAATCCAGACTGCATCATTTAAAAGATGCGGAATAAATCAAGAGAATTTACTAGTTTGGATACCTTGTCATATTCATCCAGGGCATAAATTTGAACATGGAACCTTCGCCTCCTTCCCTCGCGCTCTATTCTCTCGGCCACGTCTTGAGCCGTCCCTGTTTGACTTCCATAGAGAACCAGTAACTCTATTCTCTCGGCCACGTCTTGAGCCGTCCCTGTTTGACTTCCATAGAGAACGAGTAACTCTCTCTTGCCTGAGCTAGCCATGTGTATTAAGGCGGGGCTAAAATGAGCCATGCATCCATAGATATTAGAGTACACAGGGATTGGAAACGGGGGCGTAGGCTGGTTGATGTTGCTATTGGTTACCGGCCCAATACCTGGTTGATTTCCCATCTCCTCCATAGAGGATATGCGTGCTAAGTATATTCATTGCAAAATAATTATATTCATTGCATACCGTAATAACTTTCAAGAAAAAAAATTAGTTCGTTGGACGTCAACTTTCCATTGGCAGCAATGGAGAAATGATAGAAAAAGGCTTGGTACCAGGAAACCGCTCTGTATTTCTTGATAGCAATCTTTCAGGTGACTACTAGACCCCATTAGATCCTCAGGATGCTTTCTAAGCTTCCGAAAAAGGCCTCAAGAAGGTAGCAAGGCAAGAAAATGTGTTTTCCCCCATTGAACTCTTAATAAACTTGACGTCCAACATGGCGGCCAATTTACTGTGTGGGTGGATATACGGTACTAAAAAGCTATGAATATACTTAGCACGCATATCCTCTATTAGTGAGGCTGTACTGCAAGGACTTCGAAGGATATTTATGGAGATCCAAGAGGACGCTTACTTACGATATACCTACCGTTCCATATAGAAAGTGTTGGACTACCTGCAGTAAGGTTTTTACTTCTACAACGTTATTTTGCAACGAATTATAGGTACAACAAATTTTTTTCATTTTTCGCCCTTTTTCTGTAGTAACAAACTCATGCTTCATGGATGCTAACCTTAACTAGTATCATTCGATATGCAAATGGAAACTCTTTCATATGATTATAAAGATATTGCATTTTACTCTAGCTTGTTTTCAAAAAAGGGATTATAATGACAAAAAATACATTTTATGGTTTTAAAAGTGCCATAACATTAACATGGTAAAATTATCTATACAATAGAAAACAGAATTATAAAGAGGAAACGTTAGGCTTCTTGATGCATTAATTTCACTTGCATAGGAACACTTGTTTGCGAGATATTGCTCCTAAAAGAAAGAAAATCAAGGGTAAATTGTGACAAAAAATTTCAAGGAGCCTCTGTCAGCCTAGCAGCAATACAAATGAATGGAGGTTGGGCTACGCCCACGCTTCCGTTTCCAATCCCTTTCATTTACTCTAATATCTATGATGCCATAGATCATAGATATTAGAGTATAAAGGGATTGGAAACTGCGTGGGCGGCCTGTATAAACCAATGGAGGGCGAAGTTATCACTTCCCGCATCCTAGTTTCTCCTTAGCAACGGGAGAGGTCCACTTTTCTCTGTTCATAACTTAGTCCCAGTAGTTGCAAAAAATCAGCAAAAATATGCATAAAATACCTTATAACTTCTATATTTAACTATCCAAATTTCATACAGTTACTCAAAAGTAACAAACTGTTTCATTCATTACTAACAGCGGGTGTCAAGTGGGAC